CTCCCCTGGGGAACTCCAGAATTCACTGCAACTGCTCTAGACTGTTTATTTTTTATTTGAACAAACTGCTGACGGCAGCTGAGATAGGATGAAAACCATTTTGTCAAGTGATTATTTTGAAACGTTTTGTCAATTTTAAACAGGAGCTTTGAGTGCGACACTTTATCAAATGCCTTTGCGAAATCCAAATATACCACATCAGTTTGACCACGCAAATTGATTGTTTTTGAAAGATCATGAACAAATTCGATTAACTGAGTTGTTGTAGATAAGCCTCGGCGGAAGCCATGCTGCTTCGAAGATAATAGATTGTGCGTATCAAGATAGGACATCAAGTGTTTGTTAATAATGTGCTCGAGTATCTTTGAACATGTACTGATAAGCGAAATAGGACGGTAGTTGCGCTCGTCCCGAGAGGAGCCACTTTTGTGAACAGGGGTAATTTTAGCCTGCTTCCACGCTAGTGGGAAAGAGCCACTGCGCAGGGACGACTGAAATATTTTTGTAAGGAATGTTTTTCTGAATTATATGAGATCTCAAACAATTCTACCACGCTACGTCCGCCATTTCGTTCGATACATGCTTCGCATCGGTGCTGTATGTGAGCGACACATATGAATTTCTCCTGTACATTTTCCACGAAAAAACGGCTGCGAGACGCTACGTCACTGCAATGTTGCTGTGTGTACCCGGATAAGAATGTAAGGGTGGTCCTGGTCACCATTCTCGACCTCGAAAAAATTTCTGTGACACACGTAAGTTTAATAAACTCTGCCTGAAGTGTGAACCACGGGGACAGATCAACTTCCTCTACGGTGGCCTTTCCTATCACCGGCCGGAAACCCTTTAATATCAGACGCGGCAAATGTGCGATAGCCGCCACCAGAGTTGGGCAACTTGCTTTTCAATCACTATCGCTGCCACAATCGCCGAGATATTAGTGATACATCACTCTCAAAGCTTACATTCAAATCTTGATTGATATGTGGGGTTTAACGTCCCAAAACCACTATATGATTATGAGAGACGCCGTAGTGGAGGGCTCCGGAAATTTCGACCACCTGGGGTTCTTTAACGTGCACCCAAATCTGAGCACACGGGCCTACAACATTTCCGCCTCCATCGGAAATGCAGCCGCCGCAGCCGGGATTCGATCGCGCGACCTGCGGGTCAGCAGCCGAGTACCTTAGCCACTAGACCACCGCGGCGGGGCGACCTTCAAATCTCGCGCCACTGAGAGACTTGGAGAGTACGAAGACCTGATAAACTCATTACAAAATATAAAGGCAATAGCGTTATGTACAGCTTCGAAATAGCTGCTCAGAGCCGGCGAAACCGGCTGGGCGGCTTCTCTTTGACAGCAGTTTTTCAAGATGCTTTGCCGATCCAAAGTAAACCACGTTGCACATTTTTTTCGTAAAATATAGTGTTATATCGATCATACTTTATGTATATTCATGCGTGTGTATGTGTGTGTATATAAACGCAAGCAAAATGAAAAATTTCGGGAAATTTGACTCCCCCAACTACGCGCCTGGGAAAAGACATGAATACCGTGGCCTGGTCGCAAGCTGTAAAACGGGCAACAGCAGCGTATCGGCGTCCCAGCAACGTCCCAGACGACAGCTGTTTTCACAAAAATCGGCAGGGGAACCACATTGGCTAATAAAGTGGTCAACCGAAAATTACATGCCTTACCCATCGAAGCGGCCAAGACGAACGATCTGGCATTCCTGAAGGCGCACAACGTTCGTGCGCCCTTTGTACAGTACGGAGGCACGCTCCGAAGCATGCCACCGCAGTAAAAAAAAAAAAAAAAAAAAAAAAAATCTAACAGACCCCTTGCGTCATGTGCATGTCACGCCACCTTAGAGAGCCGTGTCGGAGTCGGACGGACATTTCGCAGGGGCGACAACTTGCGTTCACCGCGTGCCTCTCATTCGGAATGAGAGACCAAGCGATGGCCACGGACAGACTACAACCACGCTACAACCGCGAGGGCGCGGCTTGAAGGGCGTCGGACGGCGAGCCTGATGGGCGCGTCCTTGGCGCCAGACGCCAACGAGGAAGCGCATCATTCACCGCTTGCCGGCCTCAAATCGCAGCCCAGTCCAGAGTTGTAGCGCCCCAATCGAAATAACGAGAGTGAAATGGATCCAGGCCAGGGCTAAGACAATCATCGCGGAGTCGCAAAAGAAAAAAGTACGGAGAACTACTTTTTAGTGCCCTACGATGGACACCGAAAATTATTTCCTGTCGTCTCACTCACGTTACTGCGGCGAAGGTGATATGAAACCGTATCATTGTCGATAGTTATAGCATGAGAACAGAACGACGACAAAGAGACGAGAAGGACACGAGCGTAACATTTGTGTTTGTCGAAGAATCAATGGAATCAAAAAGTAGTCCAGCAGAGCATGCTTTTGAGCCCGGGCTCAACCGAACACGAATGACCTTGTCGAAGAAAGCAGCAGCCAAAATGACAATCGCGCATACATGACAGTCATGCGTGCATTCACTGCGAGGATTTGGTGGAACAACGGTAACGAAGTTTCGATCAAAATGTGCGCATCGCAGTTCAAGCGGCTCACCTGTTCTCTCTCTGGATGGGGCAAGATGTAAGTTCCACGCACAACATTTTATCCGATGGCAACGAATTGACACACATGGTTAGAGAAGGTCCTATTGTGACGATAGAGGTGCACGTGAGAGAGAGAGAGGGGTAGACGTAAGCCAAGAGGTCCCAGAGATTTCACGATTTTGCCAACAAGTGTCAGACGCATCTCCGGGGAGCTCTTTGTTTACGGCAGGCTCATTTTGGGAACAAAATTGACTTTCCGTCGCCACACTGAGACAGCGTTCATTATTACCAATTCTACACGGCACCAGGCAACAGCCAACGCTTAACTGTCGCTACTATATATGAACAGGGAGCATGCAAAGGGTGTTTCACGGTGATACTGCAGTGCAGATATGCTAAGTGAACGATCTTTCAAGCTTTTTACAAGGCCAAGAAGCTGGTGTGCGTCAGGCGAATCGGCGCCGGGCGTACACGGCATTTCCGGATTTTGTTGAGCATGTCAAAGAGCGACGTCCATCACAATAACAATATTTCCATGGTTTCCTATTTTTCGATTGCTTATCAGCAGGTGAACGCTTTTTCTTTTCGCGTTATTAAAAGAAACCTGGCAGTATCTCATAGGAGCAAATCAAAAAGCACCCTCAGCCATCACAAATCTTGACTTGGAGACCTTCGGTATCAGCTATGCTGAACGATTGACAACAAGAACAGCGACGCGAAATAAGACGAGATCGTGTGGCACTCCGGCGATAACAACACAGAGCGACGGACGCACTTTTCGAAACAATGAGCTGCTGCGAACTGTTACAAGCCAACAGGTAGAGCAAAACAAGAGGGGAAAAAAAGCGTTGTTGCTGTGTAACCGTATTATCGAGTGTACAAACTGTTTCGTTACTGAGTAGAGATAGGCATTCCATTTCCGGAAGGCGAATTCGCACAACGAATTACTTTATGTTCGCATAATTATATACAAAGTTCAAGAAACCTGCATATCAAAAATAATTAATGCATAAATACTCAACAGTATTTGTCAACACCAGAATGCTGTACGGCGTAATGAGTTTGTGGTCACCACAATCGATACGGAAGGCCACAAGATTGAAGCTCGGTTTATGTCGCAGCGATAGGATATCGGAGGCTTTAGTCGTCTGCTAAGCTAGTGTTAGGCCTACAGAATTTGTGGGTGCCTCACCTTCAGACAACTCCAGCTCCAACTCCGCGAGCTTCTCTCGCACGTCGGGCGGCAGACTGGCAATCTCGAAGTCCTGAGCCATTTCGGCAGCCAACGTCCTTTTGCACGGCGGGAAAAGATGGTCGGCGACTATATCACTTGTGCGCACGGGTTTTTCATAGGCACACGACTGTCGCAGCCATGATAAGTAGATCTTCTAAGTGAAATTGAACAAAAAAGTGATCTCTCACTTCGACTGATTTCTACGACTCGTGCCGCAGAACGTTCTAGCAGCCCTCTTGGAACGCACAAGGTCGCATTATGATCGCAGTTGCCCAGTGCACCGAGTGGAAAACATCCCTTGACAACACAGAACACAAGCCCTCCGTCGGATGATCACTGCAACCATCCGCCGCAGAAGAAGCACCTCTCAAAATGCTCGTCGGATGATGCGGGAGAGTCTCTGTTGGCGAGCGCCAGAGGCCGCCACCATGGTCGGCCGGTGTCGCCAGTTTTCCGCCCCCATGTGGTTCCGTCTGCAGGGCTTCTGCATGCAGACCTCTTTTTGTGCTAATATTTTACTGCGGCGACCGTACCACTGAAAGGTTCAAACCCCAAAGAGCACCTTGCGATACATTGAAACGTAGTTTCTCGTTTGATGTCGTGTCATTTTGCCGCTTTGTTGCAAAGCGTTCAAAAGAGGCTGGAAATGTTAGAACATAATCAATTTGCTGAAGTAGCTTATGTCAGTGGCATTAGCACGCCGCGACTGAGTCTGACCACAAAGCTGCCTGTAAATGTTTGTTATGCAGCAAATGTTGACGTAAGTAAGAAGTCTGGAAAAAGCGAAACCGATTTCTCACAGTAGCACTGTATTCCCAGTAACTACGAAGTCAGGATAATCATATTTATCCAATTGCAGGCACCTACGGTGGCCAAGTTCGCAAACAATGCCTTATTTGACGAATGCAAGGCAATGTCTTAATGCAAAACTTTGTAAAACTTATTAACCTTCGCAGGCTGTGTTAACAACTTCAGAACACTTCAGCCATAAGCATTGAGAATTCAGATAAATGCTTACTTTAGCCTTAAAATAATAACAATATTGCACTAGAATTACTTGCTTTCTGTGTTGCTTTAATGTGACAGTTTAATGTGACAGTTTGCGAACTTTTTTTTTTTTTTGATAAGTATATATTACCTGCAGCTAGCGCCATCTACGCATTGCTCGGCCATACTAACGCCGCGCGAGCAAGGCTCGAGAGCGCGAGCACAGAACACCCAAGCGCGAGCAAATAGGTGTTCTCTCGATTGGCTGTATTCGGAAACGATTCTGATTAACCCTTTTGGAAAACAACAAATGATTTAGGCGTTAGCGATCACATCATGAGGATGAATTTATTCCACGCCATTTCGGTCGACAAGGACCAGGATGATCTGGTCTTAGGCCCCGATTTACCGGTAAGGAACAACCCAGCCTTTCTGTGATATCTTGTGTGCTGCGATGTTCCACATACTGGAATGATTATTTACGATGTGTGTTTTGAAAAATGGTAAGCACTTTACACCTTAAGCATAAACAGCCCGTTACATGAACTGTTTCATTGGGTTAGCCAAATCTCTAGCCGTTCATTAGGTAACCTGAACGACCAACCAGCGCTAGTGTTGTATAACGTCCTTCACTTCTCGTTGTCAGTTTGTCGGCCTGGATCGTATTCAGTGATCGACTGAAATTTCGACGCACTAGTGGTAAACAGGTCATTCTGTCCGTATTGCGCGATGCTTCTTGCTCTGTTCCCTTCCGCTGTTGACGCACCCGCGATGAGTCACTTACGCGACAAACAAGAACTTCACGGTTCAAAGGAGCGAATGTGGTGCCTTCTACGACGAGCATAAAAGCGTGAAGGCTCGTGTGCTAAGCTACCACGGCCGGCCGCCGTGGTAGCTTAGCACATATGTGTCGGGCTGCTATGCTCGAAGGCGCTGGTAACACCCTTCTTTATAGATTCAGCAGGATGTTATTGAAGCCATAGCGCTGATAAGACAGGGATCACAGAAAGTGTGTACAATGTGCGCTGTACACTCTCTTTGGACCCTGCCTTACCAGCGCTATGGCTTCATCGAACGTAACGAACTAACTAGCCGAAAAGTCTGTTTTCTTGTTAATAAAGAACTTCAGATAGTCGAAATTATCCTAAAAGAAACAGGGCGTGCAAACACGGACACAAGGAGGAGGACAGGACCCCACAAACGCCTACTGACAGCTGCAGAAGTACACAAGTGCAGAAAAGAAAGAAGGCACAAAAACGTTTCTGCACACGCCCATGCAATTTGCAAAGCTATCAATCTGACACGCATGGTGGTCGTTAAAGTGAACTATTAAGACATTTGATTTCATCTTTATGCAAGTTGATTGGCGGTTGGCTCACAAATGCGCTGCCGCTATTATAGATATGTCATGCCCCAATCATCCGGCATGTTTCTTCGTTTCTATGCCAGTACAAAACTGTGCGTTCATGGAATTTTGGTAAGCTATTACACTCTCGACAGTTACATTCAAGAAAGATTAGAAAGTGAGCCTTTAGTTAGTTATCTCTTAGGTTCTAATAATCGCCAGTTAATGCAGTGGCCCGTCTGTCTTACGTTGAAGCGACCACAACTGAAAGGGACCTTACACTTGTAGGGCAATCTGTGAATTTATTGGTGTGTTTTACTGAACAAGTATCTTTATGCTACTTCTCTTGTACTGGCTGGGCGTGTTGGTATGTATCTATATTATAACTTTTTTAGAGCGCACAAAATACAGAACAAGAAAGAGACAGAGAAGCGCTCATCTGCCTCTATCTTGTTCTGTATTTTGTGTGTGCTAATAAAGTTATAACATGGCTATACTGTTTATTGTAACTTCCAAGTGCTTCGGCGAGAAGTTTAACAAAATCTTCGAGACTACTGTCAGGTACATGGTTCTTCTGAAATGTCAACGAAATGTCTAGAAAATGTAATCTACTATTCTGATGTAGTTGCCTAGTAAAGTTCAGCCCTCCTGTATTTAATTCAAACTTCTTGCTCACTTAGGTTACCACGGTTTCAAAGTCCTCACCATTTTAAAAAATCAAGTAATCATCTACATAACAAGAAAACCTTAATAATAGAATCCCCTAAAGCGCCTTTGGAACGTTTGTCAATCTTGCTAAGGTATAAATCACTAAGAACTGGAGCATCTTTATAGCTTATACTTATCCCTGATTTGTGCACAGAAGTGCCTTCCTTCCAACCTACCAGCATCTACTTTAAATACACGGAAAGAATTTCTGAAAAAGAAAAAGCCCCCATAGAAATGTCACATTTATCAGTGAAAGCTGCATCACATTCTTGTTCGTTAATACAGTCGTTAACACATTTCAACAAGTCCTCTTGTGGCAAAAACTAATAAAGGTCTTCAATGTCCATATTAAAAGCTGTACAGTCGCTGGGATTCTCTTCTAAGAAGAACTGAACCAGTGCCTGAGAATTATGCATATGAAAACGGTCTGAAGAACTCGGAGGTTAAGCAGTTGTACAGCGATTTGCCAGGTGCCTTGTTCTAAAACAACCGCTTGAAAGGAATCTTGTTCTTATGAATCTTCACTGCAAAAAAATAATAAGTAAAAGGATCTAAAGTAAGTGAATTCACCATCTTAAATGTCAATCTGGTGCAGGTGCGTAGTCAGAAATTTTTTTTTTTTTTTTTGAGGGGCACCACCTTGATTTTTGAAGGGGCACACCCTTAAGTGGCCATTTTTCATGCTCTATGCCTCGAGGAAAAAAATTGGGGGGGGGGGGGGGGAAGGGGGGGCACGTGCCTGGTGTGCCACCCCCTGGCTATGCCACTGATATGGTGTTTTTTAACATGGCATGCCTGAAATCACGTGGTGGTTTTGTCATGTACAATCCCAGCAGTTACTTTTTAACCCTTTAAGACACCATCTGTGAAGAGCTGTCCGTAAATGTTTCAAATCAATACATTATTACTAGGCACCTATTATTCTGTTGCAACAAAAATAATGTAATACTATGTTAATGTGCTTGTATTATAGTAACTAATCCAAATATAGTTGTAATTAAATACTTGTTTATTCTGAGGTCACTGATGCACTGTTTTGCAATAAATTGAATGAAAAATATAGTGCAAGTTAATTTTTTGGTTGTGTCTATTTTAAGAAAAAAAAACTTAGACATTTCTCATGGCTCGCAGGAAGCGACATGTTGAGCAACTCGTCAAACTTCGTAGTGCGTTCAGCAACAGTGCACTGAAAAATGAAGTTACAAGCAACTCATCAAACTTGGTAGTGCCTTCAGCAACACTGCACTGTAAAATGAAGTTAAATGAAGACAAGTATAGTATGCACAAGGTCCAATTCATCCAGAACCCAATAAATCTTGCTCTTTCTTAGCTCCTAGTTCATAGAAATAGCAAAAACGTGGTGCACACAATTGTGTGAGTGTTTCAAAGAGTTCAGTATGCTCTGCCACTTCTGATAAAATCGAATTTTTTTGCCTACTAGATGTTTAGAGACCACCTGGAACTCAGTGAACGGATCAGAAAGACACTATATTACGGAAAACTGCCTACGACGGACCGACCATCATTGGCGCTGACAGGTGACGCATATACCTCTTTCTACCCATGCCGTGCCATCTCTGAAGCATTTTGTTATAGGTGTAGCCAGGAATTAATTTCAGGGAAGCGGGGGTGTCGACCACCCCCCTGTGTATTCATGTGCATGTACATGTGTACATAGATCTCCCCAATACTATTTACTGCATGCTTACAGGAGGTTTTCAAAGGCCTAGAGTGGGAAAAGTTGGGGATACGAGTTAATGGAGAGTACCTTAGTAACCTGTACTTCGCCGATGACATTGCATTGCTCAGTAACTTGGGGGAAAATTTGCAATTTATGATTACTGAATTAGACTAGGAGAGCAGAAAGGTAGGTTTTGAAATTAATCTTTAGAAAAGGCAAGTTAATATACAACAACCTCGGAAGAGAACAACGTTTCGAGATAAGTAGCAGCGCACTTGAAGTTGTAAACGAGTACGTCTACTTAGGACGGGTAGAAACCGCGCAGACGAACCACAAGATTGAAGTAACTAGAAGAATGAGAATGGAGTGGAGCTTATTCAGCAAGCAATCTCAAAACCGTGAATGGTAAATTGCCACAATCCCTCAAGAGGCAGGTATATAACAGCTACATCCTACTGTTACTACCTACAGAGCAGAAACCCGGAGGATTGCGAAGAGGGTTCAACTTAAGTTGAGAACGACACAGCGAGCAATAGAAAGAGAAATGATAGGTGTAACTAAGGGACAAGAAGAGAGCAGATTTTATCAGGGAACAAATGAATGTTAAGGACATCATAGTCTAAACTAAGAAAAAGAAATGGTCGTGGGCAGGGCACGTAGCGTGAAGGCAAAATAACCGCTGGTCATTAAGGATCACAGTCTGGATTCCAAGAAAAGGCAAGCAGGTGAAGGGGTGACAGAAAGTTAGGTGGATAGATGAGATTAGGAAGTTTGCGGTTATAAAGTGGCAACAGCAAGCACAAGGCAGAGTTGACTGGCAGAACATGAGAGAGGCCTTTGTCCTGCAGTGGGCATGCTCAGGCTGATGATGATGATGGTGTACACAGAAAAGTATGGGGGACGGGGAGGAACTTACACCACCAAAACCCCCTTTGGCTACGCCATTGATGTGCATGCAGTACACAGCAATCTTTTAATCATACCAGGGGTGCCACTTTGTGAATGGCCAGTAAATGGGCTGTTCGTTCCAACATGCACTGATTGGTTAGAGACACAAGCGTAAGGTCATTATCGCTTACGGCCCACTTGCTTCCAAGGACAAATTGTTGGGCGAGGTGGTTACTCATCTTAGATAGGTGGTGCTCAGAAGAACAGTATTGCAAGAGGAGACACGGTGCTAATACACAGATGCCATTCTTTTGCACACTGCCGACATCAGTTGCTTTCAAGATTTAGCCAGTTAGAAAGTTAGTGAACACGTACAGAATACCACTATAGGTGATGCACAACATATCGCAGCATTCACTCTCTTCATTCTTTTTTGAATACCTAAGTTATTGACATTCTTACATTGCACTCATAATGTGCCTGCAATGTCTAATGGAAACTTCGTACCAGTTGCAGCTCTCACAAGCGCAGCAGCTGTACACCGTATTCAGCAGGGCCCTCTTGTTTTGTGTAGTTGTGAACGCAGCATAGCAGCCGGAAAAGTGGCTGGCATGTAGCAAGTTCTCAAAACCGAAATCTTGCTTAGGTGCTTTCACATGCAAGGCCAATATTGTTTGCTGTTTCAAAAATTATTGCCATGGCCTGTTCATGTTGTAATCTATAATTAATGATACCTCTCTCCATTTCTTTCACAGTTTAAATCAAACCATGCAGGTTTTCTTAGTATGAATACCATGTTTCATTCACTGATAATCAAACTAATCTAGCGGTGAAGCAGCAAGTTTTGAAGTGACATTATATTTGCATATTTCAGAAATCTCCGTTCAGATGTTTTCAAAAGTGCTGCCAAACGATGGGCTCAAAGTTCTGGACATGCACTACGCAGCTTCAGTGTCAAGGTGTGTTGCTATATGTTGTATAAAATGTTCCAGTGCGAATGAAGTCCCAAATATTGCAGTTGTGTATAGTTGTACTCGCTTTTACAAACATCAAGCTACTCGCAGCTCTGCAAGTAACTTGTTGTCTACATTCTTAAATAACACACTAACTGGATAAACAGATGAGCAGACATGAGCACACAAATGACTCTCTCTCTTTTTTTACACATGCCTAAATTTTAAGCTCACAAAATGTATGATTTTTATCCATATAACTACTGGGCTGAGCGTTTTACACGCCTATATGGAAAGAAAAAATGTTGCTGCGGCTGCCCAAGGTTAAAGAATTTGTAGGTCAGCTGCACGCAAACAAAACTAGAGCAAGAGATTCCAGTTACAGTAACAATATAAAATAGTGCACCCTATACAGTGAACTCTCACTTGTAGGAACGTTGCTTAATAAAGAATATTTCAGAATAACGAACTTCTAAAAAGATCCCCAGTGGTTTTCCTATGCATTCTACGCAAAAATTTTTCTCAATTGAGTGAACATTCATGCAAATAATATTTTCATTGAAAAAACTTGATCTGCTGACCCGGGCTCATTTTGGAGATCAATTTTGTGAAGTTTTGCGCTCTGTAGCACTGGCGTACCTGATGTGCGCCGCTCTAACTCGCCCATCTATCATCGAAGATGAAACACTGCTTGTGTATGCAGCTCTGCTGAGGCATAGTGGCCGTGCAAGAATCGAAAACTAGCAACGTGCGGTTGAGTACCTGCGCTGAGCTATCAGATTTGGAAATTGCTTACAGTGTTCATACGAAACAATAAGAAGAGCGCAACGAAGTGGTACAACGTGGTTCATGTGTGCGACATACACATTGGTTATCTTGCCCAGAACACTGGATTACGAATGGTAATGTGTTCCCTATATATACGCAAGAATGCAAGATGTTTAGGTCACATGCTTTAGACTATTTAGGCGCCTAGCTTCCTTGCTTTGCATTTATTGCAAACCAGGCTTTTCCCGTTCTGGGTGCTGAAACATCAGTACATTTTTATTCTCTTGTGGTCAACGTGCTCATCGTTTTATTCAGCGATTCATCCTGACCAGGCGAGTGTTTGTCGAAGCCCTGATTTTAGTGCATTGCCATATGCTTAAACTTTGGCTACAGATAGCTAGGGCACATTGTACATTTCCCTGCACCCTTATTTCCGCCATGTCACAATATGATAGGCACTCTACACAGGCACATCATGCACGAAATATTGCACTGTATACTAAACACTGGTAACCATTATTATGTGGCATCATGACAGCACCTATAAAAGTCCACCCTCTTTACTTTCTCTTCAACTAAAGTGAACTTCACTTGAACAAACTTCAAGGGATCCCAGAAAAAAAAAAATCATCAAAGTGAAAGTTTGCTGAACAGAAATAACTGTGTTGCAGCTTCTTATCAGGACCTAAAGAAAACATCAAGATTCTGGTACTTTTGCCATCAAGAGACACTTCATATATAAGGTGGCCAGTTTTTCTAACACAATTTATCCGCCATCTTTCAGCAGGTTCGTTGTTAACTTATCGTCACCAGCGGCCTTGCCTATTTGCATTCTTTGTAGGGCTTTCCTTACTTCCCCTGTCGTTACTGGTAGGATGTCAAATTCCTCTGGCTATCGTTGCTTCTCACGATATCGTCCTGGTTGTTTCGGTTTTTGTACAGCTCTGCAAAATTCCTACGTACCCTCAACTATCCTACCTATATTGGTTATAACATTGCCTTCCTTGTCCCTTAATGCATACATCCGATTTTGCCCATGCAAAAGTTTCCCTTTGCAGCTTTTAGGCTTTTGCTTTTCTTTACAGCCTGTTGAATTCCCTCCATGTTATACATTCCGATGTCGGCTGCCTTGCACCTATCGATTAACTTCATACGCTCCACTAGCTCTATATTGACGGTTGTATTTTAGGCTTTTCTGGTTTGTCATCTCTTAATGAGATCTTTTGTCTCCTGGGATAGTTCATCAGTGTCCTATCTAGTGACTGTACCAGAATCTTGGAAGAACGCCAACATCATTTTAATCTATTAGAAAGGGATTTCAAGGACTTGAAGAATTACAGGCTGATCAGCTTATTTACTGTCCATTCTCTACACACTATTTACAAAAATAATAAGTTATAGAATTAAAGTGACATTAAAGCTCAATCAACCAGAGGACCAAGCAGGATTTTGTACAGGCTTCTCCACAATATACCATATTCATAGTATCAATCAGGTAATATAGAAATGCGCAGAATACAACCAACCCCTATACATAGCTTTTATAGATTACGAGAAGGCATTTGACTCGGTCGAGACATGAGCATTAATGCAGGCACTACGCAATCAGGGCATCGACGAACCCTACACAAACATACTGGAAGAAATCTATAGTGGATCCACAGCCACCATAGTTCTCCATAAAGAAAGTGACAGAATCCCAATAAAGAAGGATGTAAGACAGGGAGACACGATCTCTTCAATGCTATTCACCGCGTGTTTACAGGAGGCTTTCAGGGTCCTAGATTGGGAAGAGTTAGAAATAAGAGTTAATGGGGAATATTTTAGTAACCTGCGATTCGCTGATAACATTGTCTTGATGATTCGGGGAATGAATTACAGCTCATGATTACTGAACTGGACACGGAAAGCAGAAGAGTGGGTCTGAAAATTAATATGCACAAAACTAAAGTAGTGTGCAACAGTCTCGGCAGAAAACAGCACTTTGCGACAGGTGGAGAGACGCTGGAAGTTGTAAAAAAATATGTCTACTTCGGGCAGGTAGTAACCGCAGAGCTGAACCATGAGAGTGAAATAACTAGAAGAATAAGTATTGTGCGGATCACATTGTGCAAGCATTTTCAAATCACGAATGACAATCTGCCACTAAACCTCAAGAGGAAGGTAAATAACATCTTAATCTTGCCGGTACTTACTTGCAGAGCAGAAACCTAGAGGCTTACAAAAAGAGTTCAGCTTAAATTGAGGATGACACACCGAGTGATCATATGAGGAAAATGATAGGTGTAATCTTAAAAGACGAGAAGAGAGTAGAGTGGGTAGGGAAGAAACTGGAGTTAAGGATATCGTAGTTGAAATCAAGAATAACTGGACATGGGCCAGGAACGTAGCATGTAGGCAGGATAACGGCTGCTCATTAAGGGTAACTCACTGGATTCCCAGAGAAGGCAAGCGGGTTAGGGGCAGAAAGAAGGTTAGATGGGTAAGAAGTTTGCGGGTATAAATTGGCAGCAGCAAGCACAAGACCTGGTTTATTGGCGGTTCATGGAAAAGGCCTTTGCCTTGCAGTGGGCGTAGTCAAGCTTATAATAATGATGGTTAATGAAAACATCAGTATTTAAAGTGAAATTACACCTTGTATTTGCAATATGGTACTTATTTGAATGCGAATTTTCGCTTATTTGTCATCTTGTGAAGAATGTGGTAATCTTTTGCTGCACTTGTGTACTTAGGACTGCAATGGTCATCAATTGGGTCACTGTGTCCAAGCTTTTATAAAACTTCCTCCGGCACAACACTAAGCTGGCTAGCAAAGGACTTTTTTCCACCTACTTAAGTGCTTCTTTAGCAGAAATTTTTGGTGCTTCCTCTAAAAGGTTTCCTCTTACTCTTCCTGAAGTAGGACGCTCAGTACAATGTTTTTTGTTGACAGTGGCGCATGTCTCAACTCGAGAGTCACGGGTGGCAGAATTCACAAAAGGTCTGTACCCAGTCTTTCAGACGATTTCTGACTAATATGATGTCATTGATGGGATAGTGTGACAAAGTATGTTCGTATAACTTCACTCATTTCGTTGAACTGATGTTCAAGGGGTATTTTATAGTAGATGCCAAGCAGGGGAGGGGGAGCTGGCGCAGATGACCATATTGGTGTGGCCTCTAGGATTAGCTGGAAAGGCTGCAAAGCAGTGCTGAGGAAGAGAATAGACGAAGCAGAGCCTCACTGTTTTTTTCATCTACAGGAGTCCTATGGCTATATCGTTAGAGCGAAAGTTAACACACTATGGCAGCATTTACAGGCGTGACAGTGAGAAGGTGTAGAGGTGTGAATGAGCACACCTTGATAGTTTTTCACTCTTCGCCTTGGCTTAGCAATACGCCAGCTTTCCTACACCAGTTCTTAAGATATAGTCTCAGTTTGGTGACACATTTAAACAAAGCATGTTTCATAGTTCACTGGCTTTTAAATCACATCTTGTTCGGCTTAATACCCCACCGTAATATTCCGAGCAAGCCCCCCCCACCAAAGTCATTCAACATGACGACAAAATTTTCGCACCAAAAAAAAACTCAGCGTGCATGAATTAAAACCTTATTACAGTGAACTTTATTTAGTCCCAGGATTTGTTGTAGCTTTTAATCGCTTTCAAAACCATCGAAAGACTCCTCCGAGTTAGTCGCAAAAAGAGGTCGCAGCATTCCGTTTGAAGTCCGCCACAGTCTTCTGGCACCACAGCTCCAACATCGGCCAGTCCGCTGTGCAGGTCGCCGTCCTCCCAGCCATCGAGCACATTACTAATGCCGCACCTCTTGAAGGACCGTGTCACTGTCTCCTCAAGCACAGTGGCAGGCCCACGCCTCGGCAACAAAATCAAGCACATGTTGCCTCAAGGGCTTTTCCAAGTTTCCTTTTGGTGTTCATACTTCCTCACGCATATACTGCTCCCACAAATGCCGCAAGGTGGTCTTAAACGGCTTATTCCAATACACGTCAGCAGGCTGCAGGATGCTCGTGCTGCACCACATAGGCACGCAAAGCACGTCCGTGTCGTACTCCTCGAAGGCATTTGTGACGGCTTTTGTTTTATGGATGGGTGCCTGGTCAAACACTGGTAACCATTGCAAGTCATCGACGTTTGAGCCCCAGACACTTGGCCTCCATTTTTGCATTTTCTCTTATGTCATCCAGCCGTTTCTCGTGGTGGTGAGAGAAACATTTATTACGAATGGGAAATAAAATCAGTGTTACCATTTTGAATTGACAATCTATTTTTCTTGAATTTTACCACGAAAAGTACAGAAGCTAAAGGTATAGCAATAACTGACAAAAGTCCCCTGTAGCGCTTTTACAAAAATAGTAAATAACAAATACAATTGACTGTGGTTAACTCAAACTCGAAGGGACCTTTGAATTTTGTTTGAATTATCAAGAAATTTAAATTATCAGGAGTTCTCAGATGACTCTGGGTGAGGTGACACCACACATTATGATTAAACACTGATTTTATCACATTTAAAAGTTTTTTAAGCAAATTATTGAAATCTTCTCTCATTCCCGTATCTGCTTTTGGTCAAGCTTGAAATGTCAAGACGTCGGGTGCACATTCTTTCCGTTTTCTGGATGCCGTTCAATAACCTCGATTTGCTTTGCCACTGTTCGGGACTGCATAGATATGGCTTACCTCTCACGGCAAACACAGAGCAAGAAATGGCATTGAGCAATCAGGCTGCAGGGCAAAGCAGGATTGGATTGGATTGGATTGGATTGGATTGGATTGGGGAGGGGGGCACTTGCTCATAATTTTATGGTAGCTATCTTGGTGTACTTGTGTATTCAAAACCAAAACATCATACATGCCTTGCGATATTTCGGTTTCATAGTGAAAGTGTATGGGTGCTGTCAATATCACTTGTTGCTGATGCTAGGAATCTTCATTGCATGTGCACTGTGTTCTACTGTGATGAAAGTTCAGGTAAACACTCACAGTTGTGTGACTTGGACTTGGCTCTTTCATCTTCTCGATTTTCACATTCTGTTAATATGCTTTGCCAGTGTTCCCTAAAGAATACTTTTCAAACTGGCGGCCTGCATAACTGCTGTAAGTAGCAAGGTAATCACAGCTGCTGCAGCAAATTCTTTGAAAACACTACATTACACAACTTTTTAATCCCTTGCATGCAAGCCAACGAAGAGAATTCAGCTTAAATTCAGGACGATGTAGCGAGCGATGGAAAGGAAAATGATGGGTGTAATCTTAAGAGACAAGAAAAGAGCAGAGCGGGTCAGAGAACAAACTAGGGTTAAGGATATCATTGTGGAAATCGAGAGGAAGAAATTGAGATGGGCCGGACATGTAGCATGTACACAGGATAACCACTGGTCATAAAAGGTAACTGACTAGATTGCCAGAGAAGGCAAGCGGGTAAAGAGGAGACAGAAAGTTAGATGGGCAGATGCGATTAGGAAGTTTGCGGGTATAAAGTGGCAGCAGCAAGCAAAAGACCGAGTTGAGTGGCGGGACATGGCAGAGGCCTTTGTCCTGCTGTGGGCGTAGTCAGGCTTATTATGGTGATGGTTATGCAAGCCAAATGTGTCATGTTCTATAAGTAGTAGAAGTACGTTTGGTGCATTGTTGTGTATTGCTCCAGGAGGTCTTGCATCACTCCATGCTCCATGATGCTGGCTATGGTTTACTTGGACCAACTGCGACACAAGAATCCACAGTACATGACTTCTGTTTCATCTTGCGACTTGTTCCTGGTATCCATGGTGAGTCAGGCTTACGAGAACTGCCACTGGCTTCTCATATTTGTGTTTCCTGTAGAACTGTTACTCACGTATAAAGCTTCTACAGAATTCACAATTGCGTATTTCAAAAATACGACTTCTGTTTCAGTGTACAGTGGAAAGTGCATACAGATGAAGGTGCCAGTTATGCTAAACATTTTGTCTGTATAGCCGTCGTGAGCTTAGTACTCAAACGATTAATTCATGTATTGTAGTAGCCTTATTATGTTCACAATAAAGCTACTGTGCAGGTGCAGCCTGAGGCAATGTGGCACTTGAAAAGAAAACAATTGCGTTTCATGTGAATTATGCTTAAGAGACATGCTGTTATTTTTGTCAGGAAATACATTTAATAACTTCTCATTAGCATGATCTTTTTCTTGGGGAAAAAGATTTTCAGTTGCACACGACTCTGCATGCTCTAAGAAAACAGATATTTGGGGAGCATTCCTGCCACACAACTGTCATCATCATCGACGTAGATTACTTTCTTTGCATCATTACTGCGGTTATAGCACTTCCTGGTCATTAACGGCGTGTGCGCTGTCAGCGTGACATAGCATTCCTGGTGGGAAAGTTACGAGAACTCGGTTTTTAATAAAGGAAATGTGAGCAAGCCATGTCGCAATTATACAGTTTACTCTCATTAAACAGTATCTGAAGGGACCAGTAAAATATATTCTGCTTAACAGGAGTTCTGTTTTTTGAACGATAAACATGGGTGCGGAATGAAAAACGAAACCAGTCTTGTCAGAAGCACAACTGCACAAAAGTGTGCAGTAGTAGGGAGCATTTTGAAATGGTCGAATTGGCGGTAAAGTTGACGACTCATCTACATTTCTCCAGTGCATGTCCAAGTATTCGAACAGTGATTTGCTGCATGTTTCATTGTCGAGTGGTGTTGATCGTCACAAGTTGTTGGTGCACATTGCACAGTCTATTAATTAGTAGCCCACACTGTAACTAAGCTAATATACTTGCCATATGTGCATATATCCCATAAGAGTGTCCGTGCAATGAGGTCTCTAGTTCCCACATTGTACATGTGAGTTGCACTCCTTGTGAGAATACAGGCAAGCTGCTTTTATTTTTTATTTTTTCTGCAATCGATCCACAAATGGCCGGTGCTGATTGTGTTGCTTGAGTGTGTGTTCACTTGCAGCATTTATCTGGCTTCTATGGTCAATGTCTTTTGACAATATTTATATGGTTGCTACTGTTCTCAGTCTCTGCAAAAAACAGCACATTGCAATAAGTGGAGAAACACTGGGTGGAAGTTGTAAAGGAATACCATATTTATTCGAATCTAGGCTAATAGAGTTTTTTTTTTTTTAATTTCTTTGCATCTAGTTTTAGGACCAGCTTAAATTCGAGGATTTTAAAAGACGCACCAATTTTCATTGAAAAAAGTGATGCACAACTAGCTCCACCTAGACGGTATTATAGCCGTTAGTAGCCAAGCCAATACCTGGTTTATCTTTTTCATTACTGCGCGAAAATGGTTGTTTTTCATACGTCTCGAGAAGGTAGTTTTTGCCAGTTTGAAAAGTACTCCAGCACGCATTGCAGCATACCAAACTTTGCACAATAAAATTCTCTTTCCAAAAATATATGTTGTTTAGCAACAAAAATATCTTAGAAGGAATAAAAATGTGAAAAGTGTAGCATTTTTGGTTGCCACGTGGTAAACAGTGCAATAAAAAACGCTGTATGTGTAAAAATATTCAAAACAAAGAAAATTCAGAACATACATTTTGTAGGTTAATGACACAGGAACAGTGTAAAAAATAATGAATGTTGTACAAAATGTTTCTCTTCACATAGCCAAAGAAAATCTAAACCGAGGTGCTGCTTTGTTGCTCGTGCAGTGAAACATCACATGGTTTTTCGTGAGATGCAAGTGTACTTGTACACTTTTCTCAGTAAAGTTTTGTCTTCTTGGGATAAGAGTCTCCAGGTGTTTCAATATAGATAGCCATGATATGAATAATCCCTCTATAAATGAGATGTTCAATGAACTTCGGTATTTCATCTAGTGTCACCTCATTCCACGAGCCATCTCACTCCGCATAGGTTGGCATTCCAATATATGCATCCAAGCATATCTCTTAGCATTTTTGTGCATATGGTATTAAAAAAAAAGGACAGCATTGTGCACGGTTCTAAAACGTTTCGCACTGCTCTATAGTCAGGCCCAAGGTATGCTCTGAGGGCCTTCTTATCATTAGTATTAAAAAAAAAGGACAACATTGTGCACGGTTCTAAAACGTTTCGCACTGCTCTATAGTCAGGCCCAAGGTATGCTCTGAGGGCCTTCTTATCATTAGGAGTAGCTCTGCTGCCAGTGCCAGCACACTGCGCTCCAGCGAAGTGTGGACCATGCACGTAACTAGAGTAGCTATTAGATTGATTGTGCACAAAAGTCGGAAGCTATACGAACTTGCCACAGAGGAGACTTGAGGATGTAAAGAAAACGAACCCATGAACGGCCGCGGATCTCTCACCCTGATGCAAAACATTGTCGCCATAAAACTTGAGGCTGAGGTGCTGTCATCCTCAAACTCTAAGCTCGTCCTCATTCAATTCAGGTGGGGTTGCAAAATAATTCCGAGCAGCACATGTGTTTTGCAGCGCTGGTGCACACACATGCGTGTTTGACGTCGTCATCATAGGAGGATATTGGCCGTATAATTATCATTTTGTAAAAAATGTTTCATTGGATTGATGATAACTTTTCGTTTTTCACAATTGCGTCCTCTGGCGTTTAGTGGGAACACTAGTTTGTTACGTGGTCGTGAGGCACTTCCCGAGGCCAGGTTTTGCAGAATGTCCTCTCTTGACTTTTTCATTCTCTATGGTTTGAGGCGAGCCGTTTGTCATTGCGAGTCGCACTTCGAGTGGCCTGTGTGTGGCATAGCTCAGTGGCACCGCACCACACAGGTGGTGTCATTATAGTGCCGCTTACAAAAGGAAAGTCGTCTCAACTGCGGGCTCGTCGTCCAACGTTCAAGCCAGACGAGACTTTGGAATAGGCGAAAAAAATGTGCATCACTGAAAGGGCTGCAGCTTAAGATGACACCCAGGAACCCTGATTGTGCTTTCTTTTAAGAATTGCGGCATATCCAGTGATCTGGATCGTGCGCTGTTTGAAGACAGTAACAAATAAGTCAGCAACGAGGGAAGCAGTGAGGACAACTCAGAATGAGCGCGGCTTCGACAAGCGCTGTGTCTGTATGAGGCAAATACACTAGAAGCAGCATGAAAAAAAGGACAAAGAAGCACACACAACAGGACTAGCGGTGGTATGTTTCTCAAGTTATTTTCATCATGAACCTACAGCTTTGTTTCATCTGCATGTTTAATAAATGTTTTCTTTTTGTGAACGCTATTTCGTTCCTACATTCAAAGTGATGCCTCCCTCGTCCATGGCTTCGGACTTTTTAGGGTCGGCTTAGAATCGAGGTTGGCCTAGATTCGAGTAAATACGGTATGTTTATTTAGGACAGGTAGTAACCCGGAGCCGAACCATGAGAGTGAAGTAACTAGAATTTGAATGGGAGCACATTCAGCAAGCATTCTGAAATCAGGAATGGTAATCTACCACTAACCTCAAGAGGAAGGTATATAATAGCTGCATTTTGCCGGTGCTTACCTACGGAGCAGAAACCTGGAGGCTTGCAAGAAGTGTTCAGCTTAAGTTTAGGACGATGCACCGAGTGATAGAAAAGAAAATGATAGGTGTAACCTTAAGAGACAAGAAGAGAGCAGAGTGGATTGGGAAGCGAACCAGGGTTAAGGATATCATAGTTGAAATCAAGAAGAAATAGACATGGGCCGGCAAGTAGCACGTAGACAGGATAACCAACCACTACTTATTAAGAGTAACTGACTGGATTCCAAGAGGAGGTGAACGGGTGAAAGGGAGGCAGAAATTTGATGGGCAGATGAGATAAAGAAGTTTGCAGGTATAACGTGGCAGTAGAGAGCACAGGACCGAGTTGACTGGCAGAACATGGGAGAGGCCTTTGCGCTGCAGTGGATGTGTAGTCAGACTGATGATGATAATATTGTAAATAGTTGAGCAAGACATAGTATTTGATTTTTTGCAACAGTTATGAGTCCCACCTTGCAGCTAGCACATCATGGTCTTTGACAGTGCTGAGGCTCTCGTATGGCCCTGCACTATTTGCGCAGGGGAGACAGCTAGCTAAATACTAATAAACATTAGAGCCTCAACATCAGTCTGTTTTTCATCCCCAAACTGTACCAGTTTTTACGGCCGGAAGACTAACTTTCTTGATGAAATCACTCCATAAGTGATCTAAGGATACTTCCGACCTCTGAATAAATATGTGACTGTTCTGATTTCATTATACTCTCTGTCGAAATGTGCCATACTATAGTTGCACTACTGATTGCCGTTCTGGTGCCATTTCGTCACAAGACAATTACAGCGCAATCAGCAGTAAATTCTCACTTTCCCTTTCTTCTTTCCTCTTTATAATTATACAACAAGTTGCAACTTAGCACTGCTATCACGCAATGCTGTTTTTCAATGAACAATTTCAATCTTCTGTCTATATGCCTCACGAAAGTGCTGATCCCATGCCTCCCCTTATAAGGAGTGAAGAAAGCACAATGATTTTCCCAGAATTACTTTCGTGCTTTCATGTGGTAATAGTTCCTCACAACTTGCCACACTAGTGCCTGCAATGGGAGGGGATGATGTAAAATTGTGCCCCCCCCCCCCAACCTTTCACTCGCATATTTTACAAGCCCTGCCAGCTTAAATAAACTTATATAGAGGAAGGAAAGAACTAGGAGGGAGCGTATGATGACACTCTTCAAGCCCTAACATAAAATATTTAGGGGAGAATTAGGCCCTGGTCATTATTGGTAAGCTCAACTAGGTCTTGGTCGCTAGTGGTCAGGTCACTTTGTGTCTGGTGCGGGTGCTACGGGGGTGTAACACTACCAAGGATGCATGCACTGGCCGGGAGGGACGGCGTCAGAGGTGGTTGGCTCACTGAGGCTAGTGTGAATGAAAACGAGCACATAACGAATGAAGAAAGTATAGGGGACGTCTCTTCAACTGTTGAAAGTCTTTTGTAGTCATTCTGATTTATAGATGTGATAAGAAATGGGTGAATTGGAACAGTACTTTGTGGCCAAAATTCTCAGATTAGAAAATAGCACTACGAGTGTGGAATGACTACTCGAGGACTATTTAGGGTGCAGTTATTTGCCAGTATATACTTCTAGTTATATGAACACATGCTCTTTATATAGCACATGCAAAAAAATAAAGAATAAAACGTAAAATAAAATTGTATTGCACATACTCCTCAGTTTTACGCTGTCAATGAAATAGGCAACAAAGTCACATTGAGCTTGATTGAGGAGTTTTGACCTGAAAGAGATTTATTCTTGGAACTGCAGCTTGTGGCTTCAAAATTCCTGTACGACGATGGTGAAGAGGATGAAGTCTTCAACAGTGAATGGGCTACATCAGCGAACATGGAGCTGAAGGACCTGAACCTTTTGGAGCGAGAGTTTCTGGGTGCTTTTGTATGTTCTACTAACTTATTTTCTGCTTTGTAGGCTCATCAGAACAATTGCTAATTATTGGAGTGTGTGATTTTTCTTAAATGCACTCTTCTACCACTAATGCTGTGAGCTCATTGCAGTGATGCCTTTCTTTTTGCAAGGTACTTGTCCATTTCAAATTTTGTTCAAAACAAGCAGGAAACAAGATGGAGCATTCACTCCCAAAAGCTTTATTAATTTACGTTGTGAGTGATGTGCTGGGCACAATTGGTCTGTGCTTCTGCAGGTGGTGCAATATGTCCTGCACATCAAGCAGCCACGCCAGCATTGTCAGCTACGCTTTCACATCATTTAAATGTGAATGCATTTCTTAGTCAGGCTATGTCAGGCATCCGGCGATGTCCGCACATCGGCAGGTGTTATCAGTCCGCTCTCACTCCGTCTCCCATAGCAATATCTGCAGGCACGGGCGCTTATCCTCGCCCTTAGCAACCGGAGCATGTGGTGCGAGAGTGTAGGAGAGGGTAGGTGCAGTGTTTCGTCGCTCCTCTTGCCGTTCCCTCTCCTCCCTGTTCCCCACTTTCCTGTCAGCTCGTGCCTCACTCTCGACCGTTTGCTGGCTGGGCACCTATCAAGAATATTCGGAAATATGAGCTCAAGACGCCACTGTGAAACGTCAATGTGGAACTGAGAATGCTGTTTGTTTTGTTCACTTCATAGTATTTTTTAACCGTGCGTGCTAGCTACTAGAGCTGGAAATGCATACGGCGTTTCTCGCGACAGAAAAACACCAATGTGGTGAACAGCGCTATTGGCTGCTCGGAGTAAGAGAAGAAAAAAAAACAAAAAACATTCTTCTTTAATGCTGGGTTCTCACGTGCAAAACGTCGTTATGGACAATATGCAATGCATTCGCATTTCCTCACGATTACCGTCGGGGAGGTGGGGGCTCTTTTTTTTTTTTTTTTGAGCCTCTTCTTGGTTTGCTGTCTTCCTGCTATAGTGTAAACCATGATGTAGCGACTTCAAGGAGGGATGCCATGAAATTTCGAGGCTCTAACAAGCCTGTTGTGGTTTTCCTCTGTATGCAAGGACACTCCACACGAATGGTCGGACACAGGAAACATTTAGAATATATTTTAATTTACTTTCAAAGTGTACCTAAATTCTCATTTTTCTTATTGAAGCCCATCGCTAGTGCGTCTAACACTGACATAGCCTTATAGGAATGGCAGTGAAAGTTGTAGTGACGTCGTACCCAATTCATAGCAAGCATATGCGTGTGCAGAGTTCCCTTTCAAGGAGGAAGAAGGTTCAACGCAGTGCCCCCCCCCCCCCCCTCCCTATCATGTCAGTGAGGCTGACTCTCCAAGAGGGGATTCATGAGGATTCAGCCTTTCTTTTTTCTTGAAGACATTCATCGCCTACTCTTAGGGGATCACACACCTGCTATGTCACCATACACCTGCTTACAGGCTCTCCCGTGCTTTGGTTTTTTTCCATCTAGGTGGGGCTAGAAGAAAACTTTTGTTGTAGTGATACGAATAATGTAGACTGCTCAGTATTTCTGCAGTATTTGTGTGTGATTTGTGTGTATAAATATTTCTGGAGACTAAACAGCTTCTTTTTCAGGCTACACATGCTCATATTTCAGTGCAGTTTGAAGATGACAGCAGTTTTGTTTATTTTTGTGTCATAATGAATTAAGGCGATGTATGAGCTTCATTTGGATTTTCTGCATGCTTTTTGAAAATTGCTACATTAAGGAAAAATCAGGGGCTCTAGTTTCTTTATGTGCAAATTCAGCCACAAAACGTCAGTTGCTTTCTACAAAAACAGGCCAAGGTATGCCCATGTATTGAGAATATCAGCCAATTTAGGTCCCCATAATTGAAAAGCAAGTGCATGTACATAATACAATTGAGTCTTCTGGTGGAAAATCTTGTCTTCTATATACGACCCAAAAATGAAATTTCCCTAGCTAATAGTTACTGCACAGTCTGCTGCAAAAGTTACTGAATTTGACTGTTTTGAAATGCTAAGCAGCAATAACGTAGAATCTCGACATTAGTTGGCTACGTTGTAGAAATAATTAAATATGTCTTTCTGTGCTGTGTAAGAAACAGCGCTGCCACTGTAGCATTTTTTTTCTAAAAATTATGACAGCTGAGGCACAGTCAGCCCAAACTGTGTAACAAGTGCTTATTCTTGCCTCACCACTCCCAAATAGCAACGGATGATTATGTTTCTAATAGATATATTTCAAACGTAAGCATATTGAGCTTTTCAATTCTTTATGTCAACTGAAAAGACACTAATTTAAGAGACACCAGTGTGTTTACAATAAAGTACGGGTTGGTAAGAATATGCATATGAGGTACCCTGCTTATAAGGAACATCTCATATAAAAGACGAGAATTGCTGCCTGGAGCATGCTTCTTATAAAGGGATTTAACTGTATATAAAACAAGGAAAACAACTGCCACGTCAGTTGAAAAAAATGGCAGACAAAGTGTTTGTGCTGCTGGAGTGAGACCGCTACCCTAAACGGTTCCTTCTCTATTGAGAGCTACTCTGTCCTCACCTTTAGTTTTCTGGGTAATTGTTGAAGCATTCTAAGATCATGAAGCAAGTCTGGACTTTGGCCTAGAAAGTGGCACTGATTTCTAGAGCTGCTCTTCCTTCTGCAGTAATCTTTTCATGGAATTATTTTCCTCTCGGATGATACAGTGCTATCAATTATGTCAGCTCTATTGAAGATAATAATTGGGGTTGTGACTCGCGGTGCTGAGGCACCTGTTTTGAAAAACATTTCACCTTTTATTCTGGGTAAAGACTGATTTTCGGCTGTACAAGCTTGATCTTTTAAGCAACCTCCGCCCACTTCACTTCAACATTCAACCACGGTGCTGTGGCCCTTCAGTGTCTGCTCTTTTGAATGGCCAGTGCCTCGTTCTAGCCCGGTTGAAACCTTTTTGCGCCGGAAGAAGCAACACCCCATGACTGTAAAATCAAAACTCTTGATTGATTGATATGTAGAGTTTTAACGTCCCAAAACCACCATATGATTTTGAGAGACGCCGTAGTAAAGGGCTCCAGAAATTTCAACCACCTGGGGTTTTTGAACGTGCACCCAAATCTAAACACACGGGCCTGCAAAATTTCCGCCTCCATCGGAAATGCAGCCGCCGCAGCCGGGATAAAATCAAAACTCTTACCTTCCCCAGAAGAGCCTTGCTGGCAAGCCTTAGCTGTGAAGATTGTTGTTGGACAGCAGCGAGGGCCCGCCAAAAGTCTGCACTACTGTGCTTATGACCATTCACCTTGAATTTCCGTCAATCAGCATAAGCCACCAGCTCTCCCTTATACAGCAAGGAGTATTTTTGAAATGCGTTCATTTCATATGTTTCCTATTGCAAATCAGTCAGTGCATATATGAATGCAAATATATTTTAGAAATTACTGCTATGCATGGGCTATATTACTTGCATGCCGAAGTTGGTACCTTTTTTCAATAAGGTACTGCTCCGAATCATGCTTTCCATGCTCAGAATGAAAACTTTTGTGTCTTCAAGTGCTGCCTCAAAGCACCAAAAGCCACTTCATTCACTGATCATGTTTTACTGTGGAGTGCATAAAAGAAATTTTATCTTAGTTGACTTGCTATGTTAGATAATCATTAATTTTTGCTGTGAATAAATACATTGTCTTCATACAATCTGGTATTAATTTTAGTCTTTTAGGTTGGCTTTTTAATAGTAATACAATGAAATATTATTCATTTGCCTTCTAGGACTGGAACTTGTATGTGAAACCCAAGGAATTTGCACGTGTTCTGGACAAAATCGAAACAAGGTAAAAAAAAAACAACTATTCAACAGAAACCACACACCTTGAATATCGACGTTATGCGATGTATGCGGAGGGAAAGTGACCATGTTGTAATTTTTTTATTGAGCGACACGCTACGAAATGACCCTAAATATATCTATACATGTTGTATGCACAAACATATGTTGAAGAGTTGAACTTGCACAATGATGCCAATAGGAACATGAGTATTAGCAACACCAGAAGCGATAAGCTGATATGAAGCGCTGGTGCTCGCGAGGGTGGGAGCCCTTGACACTGCTACATAAATCAACTTCAGCGCATGGCACCTAACTGCCACTCACGTTAGCTCGATGTGACGGCTTTATCATAGGAATGCATATATGTTTCACAAACATTAGGGTCTATTTGAAAAGTAATTTCGAGACCTGGCGTGGCTCTGTGGTAGATGTTCAATTGCCACGCAGAAAGCTTGGGTTCGATTCCTGTTAGGACCCTGACATTTATTCTTTTGCATTTGTCGGGTCAATGCTGCTGATGTCAGCTTTTTCTTAATTCTCATGCGTTAAGGTTGCCCATTTGTGTTCTTGTCATTCCTGGGTGGATACTAAGTGTCTTATCATCTGTCGCACATGAGCGCGAAAGCTTGACACAATCACTCACACACGTACACACCCATGCATCAAACACACACAGTGTGTTTGATGCATGGGTGTGTGCGTGTGTGAGTGATCATGTCAAGTTTTCGCGCTCGAATTAACTTTTCGAAATGCTCTACCAACTAGCCCAACTACAAGTTCTTTTAGAATACCCACATACCACTGGCACATACCGTATATACTCGTGTAAGGGCCGCCCTCGTGTAAGGGCCGCACCCCAACTTTGAAAGCGGATATTTCGAAAAAAAAAAAAACAAAAGTTCAAAATGTCCCGCCAGAAAAGTGTAGTTAGTTCATTTACAGCCAGATGGCGCTGCACGCTTTTCCGCTTTTATTCTACTTCCGCCGACGCGCCGACCACGCTGTTGACAGCAACGTTACTAGATACTTTTCCAGTTGTCAAACTCCGCCGCGGCGCGTGACGCTTTTCCATTGAGCGCCGCGTGGGGGCGCGCGCGACACGATTGGCCCGGTTCGGTGAGAGGTGCAACCGCGAAGGAACCGGCCTGCGAGCGCAGAAGGCGACCGCATCGTTCTGCTCGAGTTGTTGTGCGCGTTTGCTTTTGTTTCCCGTGTATAGACGTAAAATGTCGATGACTGCTGTGACTGTGTAGTGAGAAGCAATGCCCCGTTGCTTTGTGACCGGCTGCAAAAGCGGCTACGACTCTGCGAAGAGCGCAGCTGAGAAGAGACACTTTTTCAAACCGCCCAACGAAACTTCGAGGCTTCAAGAATGGCAACACGCGATCCCAAGGAGCGACAGGGAGCTCACGAGCTCTTGTGTTGTGTGCGACCTTCACTTTCAGGAAGCAGACCTTGTGAAAAACTTCGTGCACAACATCCGCGGTGACGTCGTCGTCATACCGCGAGACAAGTGGAGCCTCAAAGATGATGCCGTACCCCGCTTGTTTCCCAACTGTCCGAAATATCTTTCGAAGCCTTTGCGGAAACGCAAAGCTCCTGCCGTGAGGTCACCCCTCCAACCGAAGCGTCGGAATGTTCAGGACGACGCCGAACAAGAAAACACAGCGCCGAACACCTTCGACTATGGGGAGAGAGACGGCTCTGTGTCAGGCAGCGTCACACTCGATAGTACCCAGTCCTTGTTCGAGGAGCTATCGACAATGGCGCAAGAGGGACGGCGGCTGCAAGGCTGGTCGACTGAACTCGTTGATTCTGTTGTCGTGCTCTACAAACTTGAAGTAGAAAACTCAGTTCCCCGAGTCGGCAAGGCAGTGACGTTGTCAAGCGACCTTTGTCTCTCAGTCAGTGCGAATGGGCGGCTTGTACCGTCAACTGTGTACACAGGATGTTCGCACCTGGAGGTGAAGTCATTGAATGACCTAACATGCTTGCTGAGCTATGTGGAAAAGCTAAAGCCATGTCAGGGCTTTCCTGCCAAGCTTTACCCACAAATATCATCCTCGTCGGTAGCAAGTAAAGAGGGTGAGACTTGGCGACGCAAAACATGCACCACGCTGAGCTTGGATGCCACCTGCACAGAATGCAAAACGTTGGGTAGACTGTTTTTGATGCGCATGAAGAACTCCCAAGTGCGCAAACCCAGACCCAAGAGTAAGTGCATGAAAACGCTGCGCCGTAAAGTGATCCGAGCAACGCTCAAGAGAGAGAGGCTGAGCAAAGAGCTGGCTTCTATGAAAAAGCAACTTTGTAACGTGACTGAAGCTAAAATTGAAAGTGTGCTTCATGTTCTTCCTGCAAAGCAGCAACTTGCTTTTAAAACGGCGGTAATGGCAGCAAAGGCAAAAATGAAAAACGGAAGGCGTTATGACGACGAATGGCTGATGACATGCCTGTTGTTGCAAATTTCCAGCCCAAAAGCTTACACCTTGATATCAGACATGCAACTGTTGCCCCTTCCCACTAAAGCCCGCTTGCGTCAAATAATCAGTGGCATCCCATGCAAGTACGGGTACAATGAAGTTGCGCTAAGTACAATTAAGGCGCACTTCCAGGGCAAGAGTCACATCAGAAGGTGCGGCGTTCTACTGCTGGACGAGATCAAACTAAAGCAGTCGGTTGCATTTAACAAGGCGTCGTGCAAAATGGACGGCTTCGTCGACTATGGCGACGTAACATCCACAGCGACTGATAAGCTTGCTGATCATGGCCTAGTCCTCATGTTTGTGCCGCTGTTTGAGGACTGGGTGCAGCCCATAGCAAGCTTCGCCACAAAGGGAGCAGCCCCTGGGAAGGTACTTTCGGAACTCGTGCTGAGCGCTGTGCTTGAACTGCACAAAAGCAACGCCTCTGTGCTTGCTATAATAAGTGATGGAGCCGGGAACAACCGCTCAATGTGGGCCCAGCTCGGTATATCGGGCAAGCTGGACTCGTCGTGCCATCACATCGAACACCCTTGGGAGCCTTCACAGAGGATTTATTTCATTTGTGATGTGCCGCACATAATCAAGTGCATCAGAAATCATCTGAAGAAACATACCTATGGATTGGTAAGAAAAAAAGTGCAAATGTTCAGAGTTAGATTTTAATCGTTCTTTTTCTTACTTCCAGGCACGTGACCATAAGATCAACTTTGGTCACTATGTTACACTGTTCGACACAGAAAAGGACAAACACCTACGAGTCGTACCAAAACTGACGCGAGCCCATGTTGCACCTGATAACCTTCAGAAGATGAGTGTCAGGCTTGCCACCCAGGTATTTTGACTGCTATAGTCTGTGTGTTACTCGTTGCACGTTGTTTGTTTTCGTGTACCTTTACACCGAATGCACTTCTTTAACAGCTGTTCAGCCGTAGCACAGCAGCTGGCATCAAGCTGTACAGAGAAGCCAAGGTGCCAGGCATGGAAGACTCCGAAGGCACAGAAACATTCACCAGGATGGTGAATGATCTTTTTGATGCCTTAAACATCAAGCTACCATCGAGAGGAGTGAGGCGCCACTCGAAAGAAATACAGGTGACTGCTAGACCCCTTTTCATTTCGATTTAGCCTTGTATGTTCTTGAGCACTCACTTTGTTCAGCATGTTAACATCATGACACTAATATTTTCAGATCCTGAAAGACTTCCTGGAAATGCTCAACACGACGGAGCGAAATGCAGTCAAAGAGAACCTGAAGCTTTTTGCGTCACAGCAAACAACAGAGTCTTTACGAGTGACTTTGCTGTCCACCATAGACGTCATTGCATTTTTGCTGGCTCAAGGTGCTAACTATGTCCTTACAGCAAAGTTAAACCAGGACCCTTTGGAGGTAAGCATGCTGTTCTTGTTTTTGCTTGGTGCATTTTGTTAGCACATTTCAGTGCAGTTCAAAGGCATGTCTTTTTCAGCGACACTTCGGACTGGCACGGTCATTTGGAGGTGACGAATCTCATCCAACGGTTGTCAACTTCAGTCAGATATTCCGCCTCCTCAGCCTCTACACACCGGTAAAGACAGCTTTGCGTGGCAGTGTGCAAGGCACACCCTGTTCTGTGCTCGTTAGTGTGACTGACACACTTAAGATAACGAAGGACGCCCACCAAGAAGAGAAAGTCCGCCTGCATGACATAGTGGAAGCCAAAATGATGGAAATTACAACTGCTTCTGCTGACACATCTGAGCAAGGGCCAAGCGACCACGCCTATTTCAAGGGTGAGGTGGAGGACAGTGTTGTGTACTACCTGTGTGGCTATGTCATACACAAGTTCACCAAGCATGCAACATGCCATCTCTGCATAGAAGACATCAGCTGCGCCACACCTGTGCTTGCTTCTGACAGCTACCTAACCGACTACAGGAGCTTCAAGCAAGGCAGCTTAAAGCATCCAACACAGAAGATGTTGACGTTTTTTAAAATAGTCAGCAAAGTAGTTTCAGCTTGTCTGGACAAGGAGGATCTCTGCGGGGACATATTTTGGAAAGTGTTGGAAGAGTTGGAGAAGCACCACCTTTCTCGACTCGGTTGTGACCAGCACAATTCAGCATTCACGTGCCAACTGCTGAACTTTTTATCATCACCCGCATGCATTTCTTCTCGCGGGATGTGAACCGCCGCCTCGGAAGCAGCCAAAAAGTGGCAATAGCGAACAAAAAGGCCCGCCTGCTGTGAGCAATCACGCAGCAGCCGAATAAGGTTCTTTGAATGTGTGTACGTTTGTGTTTTAAGTGTGTGCTGGCCCGTTACTTTGGCTCTTTGGATATGTGAAGCACTCCTGCTTGTGCGTAAAATAAATGTTTGTCAGGGCGTGCATACATTTCGTCGGCGTCCGCTGCTGAGCTAGGAGCCGGGCTGCTGCAAAGGTGAGTACGAGCGCTTTGAGTTGACGTTTTTCTCTTGTCCTCGCCGGTAGTTCGCGCTTTCAAGAAGCAACTTGTTATACCAACTGCCACAAGCAACCACGCGTGCGAGTGGGCGTGATAGTGTGCGAAAATAATCTAGCTGTTCTAACCACTAGCTGTTCTAATCTAACCAACGTGCTGACGCACGTTCGCGATACGCGGTGCTTTCTTTATCGAAAGTTCGCGAGCAATACAAGCCGCCCAGTCTGCGTTTTCCGGTTTTCTGTATAATAGCAGGCAACTTGCCTCAAATAGAAGGAAAATGTTAGCCGAAAACGCATGCAGAACCTATGAACAGCACCCGCTACTGCGCTGAACTGCAGGGGAAAGTTGCCTGTTCAGCTGCGCGCCGACGCGCTCGATCGGGCCGACCGTGGCGCGAGCGCCCCTGGCGGCAGTAAACAGAGAGGGGTCAAGTTTGTGCGGCGGTCCAGGCGGAGTTTGACAACTGGAAAAGTATCTAGTAACGTTGGTTGACAGCGCGCCGCCATATTTGCCTTGTGCGGCCTCTTTGTTGGCATCGTTCCTAGCATCGTGTCGATACGTTGGCAGCGCGACTTCAGATCGGTGTCGTCGGTGTCACTTTGTTGGTTGTAGTGAACCCTGCAGAAGCCAGCGCACGTGACGGACGATGGGCCGGCATCTGAGATCATTCACTGCAGCATTTAAGCTGCAAGTGATTGACTATGCCGAGGAGCACGGGAAGCGGGAAGCTGGACGAAAGTACGACGTCGATGAGAAGCGCGTGCGTTACTGGATGAATCAGAAAGATGCCCTCGCCGCTACTAACAGGAGCCGAAAGGCGTTTCGCGGGAAAAAGTGCAAGTACCCGCAACTCGAAAGCGAGCTCGTCAACTACGTCGTCGACACACGAAGGGACGGCTACGCCGTATCGACTGACATGATACGCGTCAAAGCCCTCAGCATCGCTCGCCACATGGAAATACCCCCGGCACAATTCAAGGCAAGTCGGGGCTGGGCTACGCGGTTTATGAACCGTAACCAGCTTTCTATTCGGCGCCGAACGACGATTTGCCAAAAACTGCCGCGCGAGTACGAAGACCACGTCATTAAGTTTCATCGCTTCGTGAATGCTCTCAGGAGGGAGCATGAATACGACCTGTCCCAAATTGGGAATGCGGACCAGACACCTGTGTGGTTCGATGCACCGGAAAGCACCACAGTGGATTTAAAAGGTGCGAAAAGTGTGTCTGTGCGCACGACTGGTGCAGAACGCCAAAGGTGCACTGTGATGTTGTGCATCACGGCAGACGGCAGGAGGCTTCCGCCGTACGTCGTATTTAAAAGGAAGACTCTCCCAAAAGAGAAGTTCCCTCAGGGAATCGTCGTACGTGCGCAAGAGAAGGGCTGGATGTCCGAGGAACTGGTCGTTGACTGGATTAAGACCGTCTGGGCAAACAGACCTGGAGGGCTGTTACAACGGAAAGCCCTCCTTGTTTTGGACAGCTTTAGGGGCCACTTGACCGACCGCGTCAAGAACCGAGTTGCCGCAACTCGTACGGACTTGGCCGTCATTCCCGGTGGCCTGACGAGTGTGCTGCAGCCGCTCGACGTATGCGTCAACAGACCATTCAAAGTGGAATTTCGCCGATGTTACTCTGAATGGATGGCTGGAGGCGTCCACGAGAAGACCCTACAGGACGGCTGAAGCGGGCGTCGCTCCAACAGGTGTGTGAATGGATTTTGAATGCGTGGCGTGCCATGTCAGTAGAAGTAGTTGCTAAAAGCTTCAAGGTAACGGGAATTTCGAACTCCATGAACGGCACCGAAGATGACCGTCTCTGGGAAGACGCGGACGCCGAGGCGAGCTCCTCCGAGAACGAGGACAGCGAAATGGAATCCGAATAAAAACATTTCTGGCATGTCATTTGTGACTCTTGCACTCTGCTACTGTTGCATAAACAGTACAGACCTTTGGCCTGTACTGCCTGTACTAAATCGGCCTGATTCGTGTAAGGGCCGCACCTAGCAAAATTTTCGAAAAAAAAGTGCGGCCCTTACACGAGTATATACGGTACCCGCTCGTGGGCATGTGCCACTGATTGATGGGAAGTGTTTGACGGCGTATGCAGGAGATTTTCATATTATTCGTGTCTTGACCAGCGCGCCATATTCGTCAAACAAGCTTACCCTCCTATACTAATTTTGGTTCAGGCTAAGTTGAGGGGGTGATCATGAGAGCACACTGACGTAAGCGACTAGACAGTGCTTGCAGTTGGTAAAGAAATTTTTCGCATTTAAAATCACGAAATTGCATCACTTCTAGCAGTGCACCTGGTACACATGATCATGTGGACATTTGAAATGTACAGCATGAAGTATTCTTGAGTAATATATGTGCTTTGTGGTTTGAATTAAGCCCTTGCAGGGTGGTAGTGCAAATGTGCCTGTGAAGGAGACGGTGCTGTGTAGTATCATAATTCATTGCATTTAAGTTTCAGCTAATTGTGCATTCACAGAAAAGCCTGTTTGCCTGTATTCAGAAAGCAAGTCTTTTTGCAGGATTGCATACATGGAGTCCTCAAAGCGAGGCTGGACCACTTACACAGATGTGTGTGTGCTGAGCAAAAGTGCTGTGCTCGGGCGTTGTTGGCTACTAGTCTATGACGGTGTGATCAAGGTGGGTTCAGCATCACTTTCAAAAGAATGTTTGAATTATAGAATTAATGGGCACTTCAACATCTTGTCTTCATGCAGCTGACAGCTGAGAATGCCGTAATCAGCATATTCCAGGTGGTTCTGGACGTATCATACTTGAATTATTGTCTATATTAACCAGTCCCTGGAATCAAGTTAGTGACATTTGTAAACAATCTAACGAGCTAGCCATTACGAGCATATGCTGAGAATATCCCCCACTGGAGTATAACATGCATTCGTTCGAAAGTGAACAAAAAATCAGGCTGTGAGTTCCACTTCTGATTAAACAACTGATAAAAGCAACTTGAGAGTGGCATGCGTCAGCATAACGATCGTTATGGCGTAATGAAGGCATTTTCGGTAGTAAAATAAGTACAGTAAAACCTCATTGATTCGAACTCGGTTATTTTTAAATTGCACTATTTTAAAATATTTCTGCAGTCCCATATTTTGCAATGCAAATCTGTAGATAATTTGAAGCGGCGGGCAGCACTAGTCTGGTTAATCTAAAAACTTTGGGTGCTATGTGCTAATTCCTGATACTGATTTCATCATAAATCTGTGGAAACGATGGCCTTCAAAAGCCACAAGGTAACGCAACATAGCGATACTAATGAGTGGCAGCTGAAGCACTTCATATTCGCTGCTTCGAGCGTGAAAAAAAGGGGGGGGTGTCTCGTGGTCAGCTGAAATTCGCGCCAGTGGAAGACAAGACATGCGTCACTGCATGCTTCACACGTGGGGCAACATATAGCATGCTTCTCGCAACGTCAGCGTATCATGACTTACCCGGTATTTCTGGGAATAAAAAGAAATTAATAAGGGACAGTTTTGGGGAATCGGCAGTGTATGCGAACCTCCGATTGCCGGTAATTAGCGCACTTACACTGCTGGCTTAATTCTTGCCTGAAATGCCTACTTCGAAAACCAAGTTTTAAATCTTCTGTGATCATGTTTTCTAGCCAAAACGCATCGAGAGTTTCGTCACACTGTCCATTATTAAACTGTTTATTTTACTTGAATGGAGAAATGGTTGCACAATGGTGTGCTGACACTGCAAGGAGCACGTGACATGCTGCCTGCGTCTCACTACTGTGCTGCAGTGAAGATGTATTGTTTTTCGCAGTGGTGTTCAAAAATTTTCTTGGCTTTGTTCTTACTCGTGCAGAACGTCGCTTAACTCAGTTTTGCCGCGGTACACAGGGTGCCATGCGGAAAGCGTACTATGATTTGTAAGGGGTTGTTTGCACTACTCACGGGACATAGCACATTTCGTTCAGTTACTCATGCGTGTACGCGTCACATAATTGCGAGCACTATCATAACACATTTCACAAGACACTGCGTCATTTCATACACAACATTGGCTTAACGGTGCACATTTAATACACATACACACACAAAGTATTATGCCTTAAAGGCAAGTCTATGTTGCAATAAAAAAAAATAGTTTGATTGCCAAACGTATGAAAATGTTACTGGGAATCATTTGGAGCAGTGTGACATTTCTGCCTCACTAAAAAAGCTGTGTCGAGTTTTTTGTTTTTTTTCCGCCACTCCTTACTTTTCAGTTTCATTAATTCCCTGAATTTCAAGGTCGCCAGCTTGGTAGATGTACATTTGAATTCACAGGGTCTGTGAAAAGATTAGACAGACGCGAAAAATGCCAATGTGGACGTCATTTTTGTTTGCTTAGTGGGGTGGTTTGAAGTACTACTTTTATTGAAATAGCAGTGCTCATGTTTACTCTGCACAATTTTGGTTGATTATGAACGGTTTGCAGCTAGTTCTTTTTTTCTGAAGGCAAGCCTTGTTTTTTTATACTGTTCCAAATTTGGTCATTCGTGATGAACAATGGATGTTTTTTCCCCCGTAACGTGCTCTAAATTTGCATTTTAGTGCTCCAAAACTAAGATTTTGCTGCTCTGAAAATTGCTTCAAATTCTATTTCGGCTGTTGCACCTCTGTACTTGGGTCCTCAGTCCTTGCCTCTTTATTCTCGTGCAGGTGATTGCCGTATCTGCCATTGCCTATGTTGCTGCAGCGTTGACTCTCTTCGGTTCAGCAGCCCTTGCACACAAGGTTTCCCACACAGGCCAGCAGCTGTTACAGGGTACCAGTCTTGGCAACCAGAACATAAACTTTTTTGCCACTCATTCTAATGCCAGCAATGTCTTGCCGTGTGTTGTGCCCCCTTTTCTGAGCCCCTGCACTGATCAAGACCGACAAGGCATTGTTGAATGTATTCCGGACAAACCTCTTCATGTACCAAACAAACCTCTTTGCCAGCATTCCAAACCGGCTTCCAACCTGTCAGCCAGCCACAGAGTCTTGGCTCGAACCCGAGCTTCACTTGTTTGCACTGGAGTGCCTCACCATCCACAGAAGGCTAATTGTGTGGAAGTGACATTCAGCCTCTGGCAGCTGCCTCATCATTGGTGAACTTCTATGGCTTTGTTTGGACATCCTACGGTGTGTGGCTGCAGAGGAGGTGCACTTGTAAATGTAGGGCCCGGTGCTTTTTGTGCTGTACATAATAACCTCAGGACTTGGATGGGGTTATGGTAGGAGTGGAAAATTTCCATGTCACCGTCCTCTCTGTACCACTGTAAACAAAATGGTTCTGTCTCCCCCCCCCCCTCCCACTTTTTTTTTTCACATCACTTTGGAACCTTTGGAACTAAGCATCCAGCAGACAGAATTTTTGCAGTACTCTTTAAATACTTTGAAATTTCTTAAGAGAAGCATCAGGAGCGCTGGTAAAATACTGGCATTTTGTATGTTTTTTTCTCTCCCTCTAAATCTAGGCTTTGTCATTGCAATGCTAATCATATCTGTACAAAAACCAGCCAGTTCAGCTGGTACTTTCTTCTGCCTAATTTCTTTCAAAATAAAAAATAAAAGCACACTGCACATTGTTGGGTGGCTTCACTGATGCACTACAGAACATGTCTATGCAAGTCTTGGTATCATTTATTGTGTCAAATTGTGAAGCTTTTATCCAGGGTATAATGAAGTTATACTGCCAGTCCCATTAATTCGTTAGTGGGTAGAAAAGTTGGATTTGTGTTTGGAAAGTCAAGTTAAAAAATGCTTTGAGCTAACTGCATATTAGAGCTATACTAGCAATTCATAGCTTTTTAGAACTAAAATGGGATTGCTTTTTATGTGTTCTTAGGATATTGTATTAGGTAAAGGACACCTTAGGATGCTACGTTTATTTTGGCTTCCGCTTTTAAAACGCAACAAGTGTTAAGAGACTGAAGAAGCTAGACGTTTTTACAGCCTTTAGGGGCACTAGTTGGTAAAAGAGTGTTGTACAACATGAAATATGTGTATGCTGGGAGCCCTAGAAAATTGCTGTGTATGTGACTGCAATGTAACACATTGCTCTCGTGCATCAAATCCTTGTGCTCAAGTTGGCTGATTAGATGCTACAGCCAGTAGTTGTCCTTTGGTGAAATGTTGAAACATTTTAAACATTCTTTTATTAAATTAAGGAGCTTTTTCTGCTGAATACCCAACCTTAAGTGAGCATCATTATCAAGTCGATCAGCTTTTTAATATTTATATTGTAAAAAAACTGCATTGTTGGAACCATTGATGGCAGTACTTACGGACCACTCTTGCTCAGTGTGTACAAAACTTCATTTATTGAGCTTTTCATTCATTGAAAATAAATCTGTGCTGCTTGCCTCTGGTGTGTGCATGTGTGTGTAAATTCAGTAGCTTAGAAAACATCATTACCAATGGAAAGAAAATGCTCACCATGGTGTCCTAACGAGTGAATATGTGCAAATGACTTGTATAATGTTTTGGCTGCGGACCACTTACCATCATGTTCAGAATTTAATGCAGGAATGAATACCTAGAAGTGAGCACTGAATGAGAACGCTGATAAGTGCCGCATGTTAAATCTGTTTGGAAGGTTGTAAACATGGCTTTATTGATGACAGATATTAATTACTTAGCTTCAGTGTATTAGTCAATTATTTTCGACAAAAGAAGATGCTGAAGTCCAATGTGTAAGTAGCAGTGAGATTGGAAGGGCTTCACAAGACATGTCCCAAGTAGTCAATACATTCCAATAAGTCACTGTGATTGGAGATTCAGACGATGCTATTGTCAAAAGCCCTATAATTTTTTTATTCATATTGTCTGAAGTCTAAAAGGCACACCAGATTTTGAAAAAATTCCCCATATACTACCCAGAAGAAAGGAGTCCTCTAAGGATTTGAAAAATTGTCAGTCGATTTGTTTTCACAATCTGCGAAGTAATCACCGTCTATAAAATTTGCACAATACTTTCAGTTGGCCCATATACTTCAGGCACGGCTGCATTTCCAATGGAGGCGAAAATGTAGGCCTGTGTGCTCAGATTTGGGTGCACGTTGAAGAACCCCAGGTGGTCGGAATTTACGGAGCCCTCCACTATACGGCGTCTCTCATAATCATATGGTGGTTTTGGGACGTTAAACCTCGCATATCAATCAATCATAATATACTTCAGGCAGTGATGCTTCACAAATAGATGAGATATTTTGAAATAGATGTAAAGTACAACCAAGATTCTATGTGTGGTTTTCATGGGCCGCTAAAATTTATTTGGTTCTGTGAAGATTTCGGTGCTCGTGGAGAAATTGTGTAGTTGAGAAGCACTGTAAATGTGTGTATGAAATATATTGGCAAATATCTATGGGAGGGCACATGAAAAGAGAAAACGAACAAAAATTGGGAGACCCTTAAGCTTGGCCTTTAAGAGTTGAATGCGATAGCGATATTCTGTTCCTAGCACGTATTTGAAACACTTAGTGTATGAAATCTATTCAAACTTGCTATGCACCCACTACATGGCCTTAAGGTACAGTAATATGTGTGCTTTTTGTAGTGGTTGACTGGCTTTAAACTTTGAAGTCGTTATGATAATCTCATGTTCTGATGCCTGATGGCAATGTATGCTTGTACCACGCATTATTACGGCAATATTTCATGTTGTATTGTGAAGAATGTATACGCAAAGTGCATGTTTGGTGAAGCATGAAATTTACTTTCACTGCATTTCTAAGCAGAAAAAGTTACTTGCACTGTATTCACAAGCAGAGGCGTGGCTGTGTGGTGTAACACCAACTTGACACGCAAACAGCCCAGGTTTGATCCCCACTTAAACCCAGAATTTTTAATTATTTATTTTATTTGCATATTTCTAGATTTTTTGGCCACACAAAGATGATGATTTTTCACTCACAACCAACAACGCCGACTCTGGGATTTCTGTTAAACAAGCTCTTTGACGATATCGCATTTAAAAACGCCAGGTTTGCATTAATCGTACAGCAGTCGCAGTGAAAGCTGGCAATGCAGCCTTTCTAGAGCATGACGATATTTTTAGCGCGAGAACAAAATGACGACACAGAGACAAGGAGGACACCAAAGACACTTGTCTCTGTGTCGTCGTATTGTTCTCGTGCTATAACTATCATCATGCCATACCAACTAGCCCTAGCTGCCACGCTTTCTCGAGCCTTTGGAAATACTCTTGTGGCAACTACTACATGTACGTACGCTTGCATGGTACCCACTATGCCATAAGTTTCCATGCCTCTTGTGAAGTAGGGAATCGCCCACTGCACTGTTATTCGCTCTTCAAAGTGCACCTGTGAGGCATTATGTGCACTTTGGTGATGCTGTGGCTAATGAAGATGAACTATGGCCAAGCATTTCCTAAAGGGTTGGAAGTATTCAGTGTCCCACTTGGTATGCAATTCACATTGTGTGACACCTGGTTGTTATGTTACTCTTTTAAAATGCTCTATTATACATGTTAATGAGGTTCCTGCCCTGACATGAAGGTTTTGTTTGCAAAGGATCTCCAAGCGCAGGTGTGGCTCTGTGGTAGATTACTGAGCTGCCATGCAAATAGCTTGGGTTGGAATCTCATTCTGTCTGAAACATATTTCAATTTCTTTCGTGCTTTTTTTTTTTTTGAACAACAGCAGTTGTGGGTATCAGTGCCCAAATAAGGCCCCAAAAAATAGCCTTTGTTGCAATCTTTTTTATATCAGCTTTTGCTGTACTTAGAAAAATGGGTCAGGAAAAAGGGGGCAATCTCTCAAATTCTTTTCACTGTTTTCGAGTAGTACTGGCTTAAGACCCTTGATTACATGTGGCCTCTAGTGTACTGGGCATGGGTGGCCTTTTTTTTTAGTCAACTTTGGCTATCATTGATTTTCCCTCCATTGAATTGCAGGCCTTCATGACATAACCAAAATAAGTAAGTTTTAGTTAAATATACTTCAACAGAACATTCAGGATTGATGTCTCTTATGACTGCATGCTAATTAAAAGTATTCAAACTGTTGTATTTATGGAAGGACCAGGAGTGGGTATCAACAATATTAGGTTAATAAAATTAACAATGCTAGGTTATGATGGAAAAAACTAAGATGGGCATGCCATGTAATATTTAGAGCAAATAACCAATAGGTAAAAAGAGAAGAGTACAAGTTGTGGATGACAAAAAATTAGGTGTAGTCATGAGCTTGTGTGCCTAAAAACAAGTATATCACTGTATGAGGGGCGTGGTTTCGATTCCGAGTTGTCTTTGCATGAACTTGTGCGTGTTTTGTAGCATGACAAACATTGCAGAATCATCAAGACGTAGCAAGATGTAGCCAAAGCGCTACATTTACACCTTGATATTTCTCTCTTTAGAATTATTCGAAGTGCACCGAGCGAAGTGTACCTTGTGATATGCCTGAAATATATAATGGCAACTGAATGGAAATGACTGTGGTCAACAGAGGACGTTACAGTAACAAACTGCACCCTACACATGTATTTGCTAATCTTATCGCAGTGTAAAAACCACACAGCAAGGCTAAATTCTTCTTGGCATCATCATAGGAATAGACATAACCATTTAATATGTGATAACACAACAAAATAAATAGCTGTTATACATTATAAATGACCAAATCAAAGGGTGATCACTAATACCTCAAGAGAAATTAAATGAAGAAGGCTAGCTATATCAGGTATGGTGGTGAACACAAAACCAAGAATGAGGTATCCAAGCATAAGGTACAAGCCATCCTTGTCAATGCGAGAAAAGCATTTGATAGTGTAAGCCATGGCATTTTGTTAACCAAGCTCTCTTTATTAGGGTTTGCGGTGCATTCTTGCAGCTCGTGCAAAATTTTCTGCATGCCTGACGCCAGCTGGTTTCACTTGGGGTAGCCAAGAGTGATTTATTATTAATAAAATTCAGCACCCCGCAAGGCTCCACCCTTAGTCCATCCCTATGCATTTTTGTGAATAACCTGGTAGATTTAAGGACGCAGCTATGGGCAGTCCAACGGGCCTACGATGTGGTGGACAGGTTAGGCCTATTTGTCCCGATGTGGGAGCGGACTGCTACGTGCTAGTTCACGGCCCGACAGACCTAAATAAAGTTTTTCCATACCTTACCATGCCATACCTGGTTGTGTGGTCCTGGTTGGTTTATATGATTATGTAGACAAAACTGTCATTATAGCTGGTTAACCAAATTTATGCAGGCTGTTACTTCATTAGAGACAGTTGTAACTAAGACTATTAACTAATTTTCTGTTCATTTAATTAAAATTAGCACATCTAAGACAAAAATGACTTGTTTTCACAACCTTTTGAAAAAAAATTCATAAATTCGTTTATGCTACTCAGTTCTAATTGTTATACTTGTTTTTGTTTGCCCTTAGACTATGTAGATACCACAATGTATCTTGTCTGTATTTTGACAATGATCTGTCCTGGAAATTTCATGTAGAATATGTCTGCAAATGTCTTCGTGGTGTATCATGTATGACATATAATTTGAGATATTGTTACAATCGAATAAAAGATTACTGGGTTTATTTACATAGTGAGGATGAGAATGGGCAATCCGAAGTAAAGATGGAGTCCTCGAGCCACACCAGACAACCTAGTCTTTCTCTTCTTCATCACCGGCACATACTACCGCCCAGCTTCGATTCCCTATTCACAGACGAAGCCCGCTGGGCGAGTCCAAGTCTCTGGAAGGATTAAACTTCTTGAGGCGAGCCACGTGCACTAACTGCGTTTTGATTTGACCGATGACGAGGTGTCGTCAAGCGTGCCACGACGTACATCAAGTCGCTCAAGCGATCTACAATGACGAAGGGGCCTGTATACTGCGATAAAAACTTCTGGCATAAACCACGTTTCCGATGGGGGGTCCACAACCACACGAATTCACCTTTGTCGAATGAAATGGCACGATGGTGTTGATCGTACTGTTGCTTGGAGAGATCTTGTGCTGCCAGTGTGCGCAGGCAAGCAATTTGACAGGCTTCTTCAGCCTGGGACAACGTTTCGGCCATGGACTCATCAGCATGGAGCTTAAATGGAAGGATTGTATCAAGGTGATCGAGCGTAGAGCAGGTATAAAGGTGTGAAGTTTGTGGTCTTGTGCTTCGCTGTATTGTATGCGTAGGTAATAAACGGTAAGATCTCATCCCAGTTCTTGTGATTGGACGAGGCGTACATGTTAGTAAAAGTTCGGTTTGTACGTTCTACAAGACCATTTGTCTGGGGATGGTATGTTGTCGAATGTCTTAACTGTGAAGTGCAGAGGCGAAGAAATTCTTCCACAGCGTCCGCGATGAATTGGCGACCACAGTCAATGATGATTACATGAG